CCAGGGGCCATTACCAATAGCCAATAGTAAACTGGCTAATTTGTTTGGATGTGGTGGTTTCGTACTGGGTTATTAAAGAGATTAATCAAACAGTCATGGATGTCCAGCCAATGCCACTTGGCCTCCACATAGCCTAAAAATAGACTACGGTACTGTTTAATTTGCTCATGTAGATTTAGCATCTTTATTAGATTTGGCTCTCCTCTCCACCCATAAATGAATGGCTTTACAGAAGTGGAACTTAAAGTCCAGATTGCGGGCAATGAGTTGGCATTGCAAGATTTTCATGAGCTTGCAATAAGCATAGTTAGCTAATGTGAGGCAAACAAGACATAGGAAGAGAAGAAAAAACGAAAAAGAAAGAGAAAATGTCTCCTCTGAAACACTGGTGGGGCAGGACAGGTTATACATTTCATGCAGGAAAAAAACCACTCCAGCATCCTGGGAAACTTCTGGTTTGATTCTTTTCAGGGTGGAGAGATCATCCTCAAGTGTTGAAGCATTATTGATAGGTTTTGGATGAACAGAGTGTATTTTTACAGAGTGGAAAACTTTTTCCACTTAGGAAAATCTTAATATTTTCCCCCTGAGAAATACAGAACACATGTCATTGACATTGACTTTAAGTGTGTTTACACATGGTGTTCTAGTCTGCATTTCAAACACTGTTCATTATATTTTCTACCAGACATCAGAGATGCTCGTTCCTGAGTGAATGCAATTCTCTGCTCTCAAGAGATAAGCACAGAATAAAAATACTGGTATTACCTGAAAAAAAAAAAAGAAAAAAAAAAGATAGAAATGTATTTTACATTGCAAGAATTTATAAGAATAAAATAGAACAATGCAAATCCCAAATCAAATGATAAAATGATCCCATAATGTTTTCAGCTAGATAAATTTTTCTCCTCTTAATGATTCAACTGGATTTGCTCCAGTTGAACTGCCCATACAAGGAAAAGAGCTTTGGTCCCATCCAAAATTTCATTTTACTGCAGTTGAGTGGACTGCAACTGGACATAATTTGAGTATTTTTAACAGATACTGATTATACAAGCAGGTTTCCTTTTCAGATATATTTGTAAGCTTTTATGTTGTTAAACTTTTTGTGTTTGAAAGCACCATGCAGGGACACAATAAAAGAGTAACATATGAATGGTTTTGATAAATTACTCTAGTTTGCAGGAAATGCAGTACAATGGCACAGCAACATCACTTCAAAAAGCTTATTTATAATGAGACAAATACCAACCCCTCCAGCTCCAGGATTAAAATGAAAAAGAAAAGCAATGTGAAACTTCCCTGCCTGAATTGTATCTCTGCTTGGCTTCTGACACTTCATTATTACATTTATTTTCATTGTGATGTCATGTAGTAAATTAGGTGATAAATTAGGGTCCTATTTGTGGTAGGTACTATATAAACAGCAACAAGAAGAAAGTCCTTGACCAGAAGGGCTTTTAAGAAAGGACAAGAGACCACGCAGAATCAAAAGGGCAAGAAGATGTTGAGGCTGATCTTGTTAGAATGGTAGGCTACTTTCCAGTGGCTGCCTAAGGTTTGGGGTTTTCTTTTCAGTTTTTTTTTTAAGATCATCACAAAAAAGTACTCTAAAAAAAGAGCTAGGAAAGCAAAGGAAGGACAACGTAGGTGTAGTAAAGGAGCACCTTGTTTCGAAATCAATTCTGTGGGAGGGAAACAGCATTGTGGATGCAGCAGAAACAGGAGTAGAGCTTTCCATTCTAATTTGGAGCTGAGAAATACTTTTAGAAAGTCTTTGAAAACAAAGGTTAGGAGAAGCAGATAAAATAGATTGGAGTTGAGAAGGTAGTAAAATGTTATACCTCTGGAGAAAAAGGATATTCTTTTCATGAATTTATTTTGGGATTGTGTAGAAGGGAGGAGATTGCTTTAAAATGGAAATAAACACTATACAAAAAAAAAAAAAATCTGCTGAAGGAGAGTGAGCAAGTTTGTGCTTGTGTCTGTCGGCAGAAACTACAGCTTCAAAGATAGGAAGGGTTTCCCAAGTTGGGGTCCCTTTGTCAGCAGTGATAATGATAGAGGATATAGGAAGATGGAATTTACATGAAGGCTTTTAATTAAAACCAAATGCATATTAATTTGCTCTTTTCTCATCTGTGGAGTAAAAGAAATGATGAATTTACTTATAATTTTGACTAATTTACACCTCTAATCTACTTTACTGACATTGTTTTTATTGATGGAAAATATGGTTTTTGTAATTTGAATGGTTGATGGTATGTTTTGCCCTTACACTGGCTTTATACAAATAAAGAGGTTGGGTTTCCACTTTGGGAACACTTCTCATTACACTCAGTTTACATTTAATTTTATCTGTAACCTGTTTCTTTTCACTTTATAGCTTTTTAAAGATATATCAAGATGACTGTTTTTGTAAAACACACTGCATTTTTCTTCCCGTTGACACTGAGTACTGTGAAGGGCTGAGTCCCAGGAAGTGTGCCACCCTATAGTCAGTAAAGCAGCGAGTAGAATAAAAGGAGGGGTTTTTTTTGCTCTAAACTCAGCTGTTTTGTGAAAAAGTGCACTCTGCTCCAATGCCTTTCCACTTGGAGAAAGTTATAGCTCAGGGAAAAGCATACTATTTACTGAAACAGCAAGGTATGTCAAAGGACAAATATATGTGGCATCTTCTGCTAAGGTAAAGACTTCTGAAAAAGTCTTCCATTTAGAGATTACTTAGGCAAATTTGCTTCTAAAACAATTATTTATGACATGGTCATTTACTTGGATGATAGGACTGTGGTCAAAATATTTTGAAGCAAAGAAATGGAAAAGGAGATGAAAAAATCTGTACTACAAAACATTATTTTTATCCAGTGCCCTCCCCCTACCCCAAAATCCCCAAACCAGCTTTTCCCTAAGAATGCAGACTTTTTTAAAAATGAGAAGAGGTAAGGACTTGACATCACCTCAAAAATATGTCTTTATGTAATGAAATAAATGCAGACAGCAATAGGAAACAATTATTGAATATTAAGGTCACAGTTTGTGCTGGGGACTATCCATGCTTTGTGCAGAAACCTCTGTCCTTCCTATGGCGGTATAAAGGCTTTCTTTACACCTTGGTGTCCAGGGAGTTTCTCACTGTGTGATAGCAAAAATGGAAAATAACAAAGACAGTTTGCTGAGTTTTGTTTTCTACTCCATGGTAGGGGTGAAAATACAGTAAAAATTCTCTCTCTGAATTTAGAGAGGACATGAACATTAACAGCCATTATTTTTAATTATTTAATGATCAAACAATTTATCACAAACCTGAGAAAGAGGACCCTAAGGCACATTTTGACTCACATATTCTCTGAAGTAAAGGTTTCCTTGGGTACCATGACAGTGCCCTGCTCCAGACTTTTTCATGGCATAGATCTGCTTAAGGTGTTGAGGGACTATGAACTACCTGTCAGGACCTGCAAATTAGCCCTAAGGGGCATTTGGGACCACAGCTCCATTTATCAGCATTCCTTTCAGCAACCACATTATATTTGGGTATAAACTAATCCTTGGTAAGTATTTAGACACTTGCTCATAGCTGTACATATTTATACATCTTTACGTGTGTTTATCTATCTACATGCATGGATATGGAATTTTATCACAAAGTAGAGGCATCTAACTTACTGTTCTCCTTAATCTAAACTCATTGTGTAGCTAAAAGAGAAAAACACAAGCACTCTAGAGGGTGATTTAATATACCTAAAATCTGAATCACTCTTTGAAAGTGCTTCTCCACTGATTACAAACATGTGAGGATGAACAAAGTTATGTACCTGGAGCCTGAATCTCTCCTGATTCCCCTTATCCTGTTAAACTTTTCTTTAAATATTAAAGAAGAATATTTTTTTCCAATTGTCAAAACTTCTGCTCTTTCAGAAAAAATCACAGCCATCCCAAATCAAATTGAAAGTAGAAACAAAAAATTTAATGTAGTTAAAAGTAATCCCATGAGTTTCCATACTTCCACAGCTTAGACGAAATGTTTTGCTTAACCTTTGTTTAAGGTTTAGTTTTTAATAAAAACAATAAAGCATAATTTACTTACATTTTAAAAAAAATTAAAATAAATTAAAAATCTAACTGGAACTTTAAGGTATCCTCGAAATATTTTTCTCAAATTATATTTGTCCTTATAACATATAAATTTTCTTGTGGAAATTTTATCACCTCCTGCAATGATTTTATTTAATAAAAGAATTCCTGACCAAAGTCTACTTCAGTTCATTTATTTTACTTTGGTCTAGAGTGATATTTCCCTTCTCTGCAAATCTTCCTGTTTCCATTGCATGGGCTATGAAATTATCAGTTCCACAAAGGTTTATATGCAATCATACATTATGAGACAGTTTTCCAAAATGCAGTGTAGAGCAGCAGCTTCCAGCTATTGATGTGGAAATATTTACTTTATGTAAGAGTTTAATACTTTCTGCACAGGCCGTTGGGAGTCATATATGCCTGACTTCATGAAGATGCATATATTCCTCTGAGGGGGACTGGGATTTCCTAGAGTGGGGAAGTTGTGGTGGCAGCAAGAGAGAGCCCTGGGCTTCAGGAGCTGAGGAAAGAAGGAAGGAAACACTAAGCATGCGTGTTCTGGTACACACGGAGTATGGATTTTGGATATGGAGTATGGACATTGGGGGATTTTCTGGGGATATTTGGAAAAGCAGAGGGTAGGGCCATGGCTGATTCTTCACTTGCACCACAATGGCACAGAATGGGCACCTATGGTCACGGGTTGTATCCAGGGCTCCTTCTGCCTCCTCTGATGAGTGTATACAAAAAAAGGTAGAGTTTTAGAGAAGGCAAGTTCAAGAAGGATTACAATCCCCTTGGCATTTCAAATAAGAAAAAAACCAAACCCATGATGTTATTTTAATCAAAGATATAAAGTAAGCTTGTGTATTGCATGTTGAATTTAAATACCTTTTAATTTGCATCAGCATTTTGCTCAATTTCAGGTACAAAGCAATTGTGAATCCCATGGACATCCAGACCTCCAGTGCAGTGCTGTGGACTTGTCTTAAAGCCACTGCCATCTGGGTAATCTCCATGCTCCTAGCAGTTCCTGAAGCAGTGTTCTCCGAACTGGCTCACATCAATGACACAGATAATGCCACTTTCACAGCCTGCATACCATACCCCATGACAGATGACATGCACCCAAAGATCCATTCTGTGCTGCTTTTCCTCGTGTATTTCCTTTTCCCTCTTGTAATTATCAGTATCTACTACTATCATATTGCAAAGAGCTTAATAAAAAGTGCTCACAACATCCCTGGGGAACACAGTGAGCATTCCAAAAGACAGGTAAGCAAATTGCTTTTTACAACCTGGTAAAAAATTTGTGTGCTGTATACACTTATAAATGAAAGTCGAGGGATTAGAACATCCAACTTGTTGGATTTTGCAGATAATTAGTTCCGTTTCCACATGAAATAAACCAAGGATTATCTCAAAATTTTACTTATTTTCACAATTTCTCAATATTAAGCCCAGTGTGAAAATGAATATGAACAAGGAAAATTATAAATTCACTGCCATGAATGCACATTCATAACAGCAAATGAGATAGGTATATAAGTTTGTATGTGCTGTTACTGTACCCATTACTTATATTCTTATTGAGGAATGATGTTTTTGTAGTTAATGATGGTGGCTTCACCTGTCTCTATAGGCAGTCATTTCAGGAAAGAAATCTTACATTAATGCTTTGAGAATTGTCCCTTTTTATTTGTGTTTGGAAATGAGAAAACTGACACAGGCAAGGAAAACTTTACTTAGGGGATTTAAGGTTCTTCTCAGATGAAGGAGTGCTGAAAATGTGAACACAGAGCAGTAACTGATTTTTTTGTTACTTTCTAAGATTACAATACTGAACAGGCACTTTTCTAATATCCTTTCTGTAAAGAGATGCTATAAAATTCTTGGTATAGATTCTGTATATCTTTGAGACAAAACATTTTAAAATGCTGGACAAAGCCAATCTTCCTTTTAAGTCAGAGGAAGCAATAAGATTGTAACATCAGCATGAACACACATATGTACAAACAACAGCTTTTGCAGTGAAAGTGCCTCAGCTAGTTTACAAAAAAGCATTAGTATTGACAGAGAAAAATACGCCCATTTAAACAGTTTTGAATGATTTTCTCTGCCAGTAATTTAGAAAACTACTTTCCTACTCACAGAAATCTCTTCCCATGTACACATTCCTTTAGAAAGACTACATTCCTTTACATCCTTTTTGAGCAGCATTTCATTTCTACTCTAGTCTGTTTCTTGTCAAAAGTGCATACCTATTAGCACTTCATGTATTATTTTATTTTCCTGTGAAATATAGAGGGCCTTTTGGCTGAACCCTCTGGATGGAAATAATATTTAATTTATACCACATTTCTGAACTCACACGTATTTTTAAAGTAAGAACACATTTTTTCATTCTACTTAGTTTTTTTTTCCTCTTTGTTAATCTATGAGGCTCAGAAGGATAGAAAATTCTGGTGTACTTACATATCTCCCAGCAAGGGGAAATAAATTCAGACTATTGCTATCAGCTCATGTTTCTTTAGGCCAAGCATAATATTCACATTATACTTCTGTACCTTTTAGTCTGCTCTTGCAATCTGTCTGAGTGCAAATGCTACCAAATTTGAATGTTAGAGTTTTCCCATCTTTTTTTGATTTCTCCACTGTTTTTTGTTTAGCTAGACCCAAGAAAACTATTTAAAGATTAATTTCACAGATTTTGAAAAACTGTTAGAATAAATTCACTTGATTTTTTTTTTTTCCCCAGAAAACTGAGCAGAGTAGAAAACTTTCCTTCCTGTGCAAAACTTTCATGCCTGATACACATAATAAATCTTTTAGTAGGAATATGGGGACACTTTTTTTGCCTCTCTTTGGTGCCTTCTGCCTGGCCAGTTTATCTCCCTCTGCCAGTTTGGAACCACTGTGTAGGCTCATATCCTGCCATCTTTTCAGCCACTCTCAGTATCTACAATGTAATCTGTTATACATTAGCACTGCAATTAAGGCACATTTTGTGATGTTACTGCAATTAATGGAACCTTTTACCTTAGCCTGAAATTAAGATGCTTCAGATGGTGTAATGCAATTTCGGTGGTTTCCCTAGGAGAAAGGTGCAAGCTGAGACCCTCAGTGAAAAACAACGGGATAGAAGTACCACTGTATAGCTAACCCTAGTAATGTCTATCTCGTGATATCTCTAGATTTTGAAGCCAACAGTTTCCAAATAGCTTTTTGACTAAGGGCTTAAAACTTAAGTTTTGAGCCAAGCACTGAGATCTTGTCAGAAAAGGTTACATTTCATGACATCCTTTGGTGCGTGCTTACAGGCTACAAGCCAGTGTTTCCTTGGGCTGTGAATCACTCTTGCTGTGTGTATCATATAGAAAGAGCAACCTTCTGTAAACTGCAAACAGCTAAGAAAGTTCACTGAAAGTAAAATGCAAGAGGAAAAGGAAAGTAAATGAGATGGCAAAAGTAATTCAGGCCTTAAAGGAAGCATTTTTGCTGGCCTTACTCATGACAATTGTTGAAGCTAATATAAAGCAAAATGCTACATATTTTAATTAAATCTGTTATGTGGGGTTGTTCTATTTGTTGTTGCTCATTTGAGTTCTCTTCATCTTTTTAGATGGAAACTCGGAAACGTCTGGCAAAAATTGTTTTAGTTTTTGTTGGCTTCTTTGCTATCTGCTGGTTTCCTAACCACGTGCTATACATGTACAGATCTTTTCATTACAATAAGATTGATCCATCGATGGGACATATGGTTGTTACCTTAGTGGCCCGAGTGCTAAGCTTCTGCAACTCTTGTGTCAACCCATTTGCACTGTATTTTCTCAGTGAGAGTTTTAGAAGACATTTCAACAACCAGCTTCGCTGCAGGAAGAAAGCTCAGAAAGAGAGATCTGCCAGCTACTTGTGCAACACTTCTGCCATTCAAATGACTTCCCTGAAAAGCAATACCAGGAACACAGTAACTACCATGACACAACTGAATGGGCACAACTTGAAACAAGAAATGTCATTATGATATAATGAGTGTGATTTTTGACTGTGAAACAAATCTGAACTTTTCCTTTGCAGCTTGTAACTCACTTTTGGCTCTCATTCTTAGTCAGTCCTCAGAAGAGAGGATCTGTTAAATTCTGGCCAATCTGAGGTTACTTCACACTGTCTGACTCTTAGATAGAAGTGAAGAGTGTGTTTTACTGAGAAAACAAAACTGACTGGCATCATATTGTACTTTAAAGGAGATGCTGATACATGTTTAACATAAAGGAAAGCAGTGTATCTGATAAAACATTGCTTTAAAAAAATACAGATTTTCTGATCTGAAAATATGTATTTTTAACTGAATATTGATCCAGGCTTATGTTTTGCTTTAATAGATTGTGCATGATTTTAGCTCTGTGGTGTGTGCTAGCTTTGCTGATTAAGACTGTTAGGCATTTTGGATTCAATTTAACTTTTATTTTTAATTTATTTTTTCTTTAATCAGCTCTCATGTCAGCACAGGTAGTCTGACTGAAGCTTATTGCTGCTACTTATACAAGGCTGCTCATATAAAAGTTTGAAGGGCGGGGTGTCAGAGCTCTATCCCCCCTTACACAATGGCATAGAATCTGACAAATAATCATTCCCAAGCCAGGTGAGAGGTTAGCTTTCGTGTCTGAGCTCCAGAGAGAAGATGCTCACAGTGTCTTTCTTAGAAGGAGCAGTAGTAGCAGACAAAGGCACCTTGTGCAATATTGGAGGTTAGTTTTTTCACAAATGGGACAGGACCCCTGGGTGACGTGTCACGAGCTTTTATTTTGGACACCAGTCTCAGGTACAGTCACAGGAGATGGCACAAGCTCACTTCTGCACGAGCATCCAGAGATCTCTGTTACAGAACATTTTAAAAGTTTTTCAGCCAATAGCATATTGCTAAAGCTTACAGACAATTGTTCTATCCAATCACTAAAAGCACACGTACACCTTCTTCAAACAATGCTTGCTTGTTTATTTTCTATTAACAATAGAATACACAATAAGAATACACAATACTCTGTTATTAAGCTTAAAACCTTCTACTATCTTGGTAAGCATATTTTTCTGCAGCCTTAAGGTCTATCTTAGCCAAGCTTAAAGACTCAACTATTGTTTCATGTCCTTGTATATTGTATTATTTTGTCTTTACTTTCAGGCTTTGCAGCTGCAGCTAGCTCTAAGTTCTCTGCTTTTTCTTTTCTGAGGCCTGTTTTCACAGCTTATGAAAGTCTTCTTACTTTTACTGTTTCCCACAGTGGAAGTAGTTTTTTATGGCCAGTTCATGAGCCAAATGTAATTTTAGGTATGTTTTTCTTTACAGTTGGATGGAACTGCTCCAGCACAGATCTGTCTCTGTCACAACACTGTATTCTGTACTTCTGCAGTGACTTTTCTAAGGTGAATACTAGAGAGTACACTAGAAATTTAGACTGGATTTTGCAATTAGTTTCTAGTCTTACAATTTCAAAAGCTGGAGTGCTAATGCAGTGTATCAGTTCATTTTTCTCTTTGTCCTTAATAATGCACTTGGTTCTGTTTGTAACTCTGTGAACCACCTGAAGTTCAAAATTTCTTTCTCAATTCCTCTCTCTTCAAGACTAGTTATAACCCTACCCCAATTTTTAAAGCAGTGAGAAGTTACATTAATGTAACCTGTAAGTTGTCTAGCTATTTATCTGAAAAAAAGAAAAAAAAAATCCCCAGTTGTGACCACTCAACAGGGAAAGTAGATTGAAGTTCTTGATGTCAACCAGCATGGTCCAGCTGGTGAGATCTGTAGGAGGATGTAGTTAAATATGTGTGCATCTTTCAAATGAGAGAACTTTGTAAGTTCAGTTTACAGCGGCTCCATATGGCCTACCCTACCTAGCTGGTTGCTGTTGCCCTGTGGCTTCAGTGGCTCCTTAGAAGTCTTTATACAAAGGAGCTGATTAACATGAACCTGTAAATCTATGTGGAATGGTTTAGCAAATTGTCATTTTGTCACAGTTTAGGAATGGAATTCCCCAATTTAGTGTTCCCACTGAACCACTCCATGTGCCGCTGTCTCGCTCCACACTCCCCTCTCTCCCTGCCCCCACAGCAAGATGGAGAGGAGAAATCGGAGGCACAAAAGGTGCATATCAAGAGTTAAGATGATAACAATTTACTAGAAACAGCAATGAAATAAGCAACAAACAGTAGAAGTAACAATATTAATAACATAGTGTTATTAAAATTCATAACAAGTGAAGGGTTCACATGCAAGCACTCACCACAGGGATCTTGCTACCTGGATCACAAACTTCACCATCAGCCTGACTGGACGGACCCATCCTTCCCCTGCCCCCTGCTTTGGCATGAGGTGGTATAGAGTAACCTCGGGGTCCTGGTCATGTCCCTCCTAGCTACTGCAGAAATGAACCCTTTTCTGGCTGGAACCAGGACACATCCAACTGCCTAACACTGCCTCATCCTCTTTTTTCTTCATTTTGCCTCTTCTCTTTCTTCATGCCCTAGTTTTGTGTGAGCCCACATGTTCTCAGAACTACTTTTTAATTTTATATCACTAATTCTTCCTGGATGCCAGATAAAGTTTTGGATTCTGCTCTTCTGATCAGCCTCAAGTCCTTTTCACTCACAAATATTGTACACCTGCAAAGCACTAAAGCTTAAAGTATTCCTTTGTCAATTCTTGATGCTTATCATTGACTGTGACCAAGTTTTCGGTTTATTCCTGCTGGGTTTTTGTGGTTCCCTGCTCCTCATTTTTGTTTGACAATCTTTCTTCACTGGATAGCCTTTCACAGACCTTCTAAATCCATGGTGGTTTTTATTTCCAAAATGAATTTTTCTGATGTGGACATTACCAGATGATACAGGTGGCCTACTGGAAAAATAATAATCTAATTTGTAGCAGATTTGATGCTTCTGCTTGATTCATGCTCTCCACTCAATGTCTTAAATTGTTGTGTGTGGTATAGACAGAATGAGCCAGCTTTCTGGCAGAACAGAAAGCTACAGTCTGTTCCTTTTTGTTGTGAAGGGAAGGTGTTCCAAGGCAGACTACAACTCCTTCTTGTCAGGAAATCAGCACAGTGTTGCTTCATTATTTCCCAGACCTAATATTCAAAGTCTGTTTCAAGTACGTAAGCTAAACTGTATATAGCTCCTTTCGAATTTCTGTAGCATGGTGTGAGCGAATTATTTAATCTGTCTGGAGCTCTACTAGGTGTTGCTAAACCCAAAGTGCACATTTTGGAAGTGTCTGTTACTGTGCTTCTGTACACATTGTATATAAGCTGTATGTATAAAGCTATTTTCAGACAACTCTGCTTGCTAACAATTAAAATGATTGTAGAATGCATTTTATGAAGTATTTTCTTCTAACTGTAGTCAAAGAAACGAAAGAAATCTATAAATAAGATCATGTTAGCTTTTCATATGCTACATTGAGATCTATGCCAAAATAGTTTTAAAATGCCATGGGTTGTTTTCTCTGTTATGAAAATTTTCTTATTTCAGAAACATCAGTTCTTTTCTATCTTCCTCTCCTGAGTTTTGAGATGGTTTCTTTCAAAAATATTTTTGCAACAATTGAGAAAACTACCATCCCTTTTTAACCTTTGAAAAATGAAAGGATAGAGGTAATTACTGTTTACTCAGTGCAACACAATTGGGTTTTTTTGTAGACTAGAGCTAGTACAACATAAGTCTGATAACATCTTCTCACTCCACCTTGTCAGTACTAGAAATATTACACACACTGCTGAATCCTGAAATGTCTGTATGGTTAAATTCTCAACAGACCTGAGATACCTCATTTAGCATTACACTCTGATGTGATAATTATCTTCAACAAAGCCACTGCACTTACAATACAGGACAAATCTTTACCACACACCTGCCCCATAGATATTTTTCTTAACTCAGTCAAGGCAGATTCACAGAAACTATGGCCCAGGAATTAGCAGGGCTGATTGAGAGGTCTTAAATCATGCTCAAAGGGGAAAGGGATAAGACCAGGCTACCAGAGATCAGCCTAGGTGTTAGCAGGCTTGTGATGAGGGCAGGACCCTTAGCCCGGATGAAGTGCATCTACACCAAGAGTAGATCTACAGCTAGATCTACATCTGCACACAGAGTGGGCAGCAAGCACAAGGAGTTGGAAGCCCTTGTACAACAGGAAAGTTATGTATCTGCTATAATGGAAAGACAGTGGGATGACTCTCACGATGGGAGTGCTGTAATGGGTACCTATAAGCCCTTTAGAAGACCCAGGCCAAGCAGGAGAGGCGGAGGGGTGGAACTGCATCTGCCTGTGGGCAAAGATCAGGGGGAAGGTCAGCAGGCTGGGTATCATGGTGGTGGGAGTCTGTTATAGTCCACCCAACCAGGACAGCCGGACAGAGGAGGCATTCTACAAGCAGCTGTCTGAAGTCTCATGGTTGCCGACCCTTGTATTCATGGGTGACTTCAACTTGCCAGATTCTTCTGGAAATACAGTGCAGCAAAGAGGAAACAATCTAGGAAGTTCCTGGAGCGTGTGGAAGACAACTTCCTAACACAACTGGTAAATGAGCCTATCAGAGAAGGTGTCCTGCTAGACCTGTTGTTTGTGAACACAGGACTGGCTGATGATTTGGTAGTCAATGGTTATCTTGGGCATTGTGGCCAGGAAATGTTAGAGTTTCAGTACTGGGTGAAATAAGGAGGGGTACCAGCTGAACTTCCACCTTGGACTTCCAATGAGCAGATTTTTGGACTGTTTAGGACACTGATTGACAGAGTCCCTTGGTAGTCAGTTCTGAAATGTAAAGCAGTTTAGAAAGGCTGGGTGTGCTTTAGAAAGGAATTGTTAAATATTCAGGACCAGGTTGCCCCCAACTGTAGAAAGACAAGTTTTCAGGAAAATATACCAGCCTGATTAAACGGAGAATTTAAGCTGGAATTTAGGGAAAAAAAGAGAATCTATCGTCTCTGAAAGGAGGGTCAGGTAACTTGCAAGGACTATAAGTATAT